ATTTTGCGATAGCGATTGAAAATAAGGACATCCTCTAAAATTCGCTGGATGCTCACCTTCGCAGTTTACGCATTGAGGCTTTTCATTGGGTGCTTTAGGACAGTCTTTATAATGATGGGATTGTTTGCATTTTACACATCGTGGGGTGAGGTTGCAGTAATTCTTGGTGTGATTGGGGTATGTCAGAAGATTTGCGTCTGGGTTCAACGCTGATAATGCAGTGATTTATTTTGTTAAGTGCGAATATTTTGTTGGCTTCTTCGTCTTTGGTAAGTTCAACCGCACAGACTGGAATTGGATATTTGGCCTTGTTATACAGTCTAGTAACTTTGTTGACATTGAATTGTTGGTTTGTTAGTTCGTTTTGTATTTCCTCTTCTGTTAAGGAAATGGGTACACTGCGCATCACTACCGATAAGGTTTGCGAATCTGGATTTTTAAATGTATGATATTTAATATTATGAGAGTCATAATATTTAGTTCAATTTCTGTAGTCATTAGAGTCGGTTAAGTTAATACGCAAAAGGTTACCTTTATAGGCTGTTGTAAATTGTTGTGTTGCTTCGCGTTGGATATCTTTAAGCACTTCTTGATCATTTTTACCTTCATGCAGGTATATTGGCGGTATCCTTGGTTTTTGTGTGGACGCCTGTTGACTGATATCCATATTATCTTGTGTTGGTGTGGCATTGCGGTCTTGATAGAGAGTACTAGTTGATGCACTAGCTGGTAGGTATAACTTGTTTTCTGTTAAGAGTTTTTTCGGTTCGAACAAATATCTTGCGCTTGGTTTATCTACGTCTGGAGAGATTGCGCTTGAATCACGCTTGTTATTAATATTAACGTTGGGCATGTTTGTTGGCATCGGTTGCAGGCCACAAGGGCCGCAGTGAGAAGTGAAGTATAATGCACCCGATTGGGAGGAAAAAAGAGTTCACTAAGAATTAAATAGGTAATTTATAACGGTGTCACTGGTAACGCTCGAAAATACACAACCGATCGCGTTCACTTTATCCATATGTTCTTTTCTTGATAACCACAACACATATAAAGGTGGGACTGACAGATTTTCCTATCCTTTTTGGTAAGCTCTTATCATTTTTAATAAATTTTTAGCCCAAGATGTCACACCCCATCCAGCGTATAAAAGAAAGGAAATCTATGAACGTAAACATCACATGAAAATAACGAATTCAAACTTTCTTTCTTCAAACCGTAAATTATTGTTGTTTTAGGGTATTTTTTTAGTATTAATCAATTCCTTTGTACATTGATCTTAATTTTGTTCCTCGAGTATTATTGTATTTTTTGTCAGCACATAAGTACTGCACGAGTCTCGAACAACAAATGTTCAAGATGAGGTGATACCAAAGCAAGTCTAACAAGATTGTAGGAAGATCCTAAGAATTATATGATTTAAAAATCACGAAAATGTTAAACACGCTTTATATTCTAGAAGCTGTAAAGACTCTATACAGATTTTAAATTATCCTAAAAAAAAGTTTTTGAAAAGACCCCACAAAAATTGAGAGAACAACGTAAAAAATTTTTCGGGAGATAAGAAGATTTTTAGGTGATTCCACTTCTCCATTCTAAGAATGACCAACAGGTGTTAACTTTTTTTATTCTTAATTAAATCTGAATTAAGTACTTTATCGAAGTCACGTTTCAGAGTCAGTCTCCAAACGCCCAAATAAACGTTATAGCGTATACTGAGGAGAAACTCACTTGTTTGCAATAAATGTGTATAAAATTTGGGCGATGTAAACAAAACATAGCATAATTTGGTACATAACATGAATATCAAATAGCGCATCAGAATTCATTATTAACGGTGGAATATTTCCAGCTATTAGGTATGCATTATGCTGCATTTCAACTGCTTTGGATAGTTATTAATTCAAAATGTCAATAACATCTAAGAACTATTCTGTTCCTCTTGGCTGTTTTTTTTATCTCCCTTCTAAACTAATGTCAGGTGCCAAATTCGGCTTCCTAGCTCAACCCAGATATTTAAAAAAACCGTTTATGACAATCGTGCATACTTTCTGCCTAGTGTATAAAGCCCAAAATCCCAAAATTTCAACGAAATCAAAATGAACATTTTTATTTTTATTTTTAGCATAATTTTTGTAGGTTGTACACAGAAAAAGAGTCTTTCGAATAAGTTAAAGTAGTACGTCTGCTTTCTTTGTCCGTCATTTTGTAATCAAACTTAGACAAAATGAAAGTTGAAAGTGTTCTCTATGCGATAGTAATGATACTGTCATTGGATCAGTTTCCAAGATATATCCATTTGACAATCGTCCACTTTGGCATGGGTTCTTATGCACAAACGTTTAAGCTTGCCACAAACCGAGCCACAAACATCGCAATATATTGTATTCCGTCATTTCGCCCTCTAAAAATTCCTTGTTTCATTAATCATTAGGAATTCAATGATATAAGGCAAAGTACTTGCCATTGGATTCACTTTCGAGATATCTTGATGTATATCGTATTATTAGATGGCTTGTTCACTTCAAAATTGGCGACTCTGCTCTCACGGCCCCCATCCTGACTACATCTGATTTTATGAAGAGACAAGTTTTTAACAGAAAGAAGGCACTGAACTGGAAAGACTTGATGGAGCTCCACGATTTGGTGGGTTGATGGAGCATAAAAAGCAATTATGAAGGATGGCTGGAGCAGAGGTACAGGAACTGAAAAAGGAATTTGAAAGGCTTGGAGGTGTTTGGAAGTACAAATGAACGGCCATTCAAGAGTCACAACTAACAAAACTGAAAATAATTGATCAAATTGCAGTATTCCTGATAGAGAAAATAAAGAAAATGCCCCACCAGATAATAATTCACAGTTGTCATAAAACTAGCCGGCAAAGCTCTACTCCAAGTTACCTATTGTGAAAAGTCGAGTGTACACATTTTAAATGTTAACCAGGCTTACTCGCATCAAGCTCTTTTGCTTCTTTTTCGGCAGTGGTTTCTATAAACTTTGACGCTCGCTTTGACGTTAAAATTGTGGAAACGTTTTACGAAAATAAGCGTTAAAAAACGTGTTGTGCGTTACGTGATTATTTCGGTCAAGATAACCGGCTTGTGGAAACCACAATTGGCAGAATTGTGCAGAAATACGGTACCACAGGGTCTGTGGTGGATATAATGTCCAAAATGCATGCTCGTCCGGTCCGGTTTTGCGTGAGAATTCCGCGGAAGCATTATCTTCCGAAAATTTATGTCAACTGGCCCCCAGGATCATGCGGTTTGAACCCATTAGACTTCTTTCTTGGAGTTATTTGAAGCGTAAAGTATATCCGAAAAATTCAAGAGTTAAAAACGGCCATCATCGATCAACAAAGTGCGAGCCACCCGGCTTCCTGTCAAACATGGCGGCCGCCTCCGACTGCAGCCATCTGACACGTTTTGATGTAGATAATAATAATAAAGATAATTCTCCAAAGCTAATCAAACGGCAAGTACTTTTGGTACCGTTGCGGCGGCTTTCCAAATCTTTTTTTCAAAGATCCGGCCGTTTGACCGTTATCTCGGGAAATTGTCAACATACGTACGTATGCATCGTGTGTCCTATTTTGGTTGAAACTGCAGTGTATCTCGGCTGTTTTTAAAGATAGAGACTTGCGCTTTTTGCCTCCTTGTGCCACTTTTTTGTAAAACTTTTAATACCACAAACAGAATCAATCTAGCTACGTTCGTTTCTGAGATACAGATACAGTTTCTGAGATATCTTTCTATCCATGTAAGATAGAAAAAAATGTAAGTGGCGCGGGACACCGAAAACCGTAAAGTCTCTATCTTCAAAAACAGCTGAGATACAGTCTCATGAACAATATAGGACACACAGTAGGTACATACAGAGGGCAAAAGTTTTATTCTTTAAAAGTTGCCTTAAACTGATCTAAAACGTCCACATTTGATGAAATTTTAACATGTCCGAAAATCGGTGATCGCAATAGCCACCTAGCTGGGAAGCTAAAAAGGCTTTCCGTTAAACTGTGAAAAAAGGTAGCACCCACCCTTTTTTTAGAGTCCTTTACATCTGTGGGAATAAAATAGTACATCAGAGCATACAGGATAACTATCCAATATATACATGTGGTCATTTATTTCTGTTGCCATGCCCATAATGTTAATTCACGTAGACATAAATATGATCGAACCCACCTAAAAAAAAATTAGGACACACATTCGTTTTATTTAGTGAGCTGTTCAAAGAAAATGTCGTCTGACAAGAATATTCCATTATATGGATATCGTTATTACCTACTACAAGTTTACCTACCTAGTCGTTTACTTTTTAGAGAGAAACCGTTCCTAACGTTTTCGTAAATATATTTTTGACGGTTGAGAATTAGAAAGTTGTCACATGGTCGTATAAAATTGATTGATTTATTAGTCCCACTAAAAATGAGTAGAGGACGAAGTCCTAAGAGCTTCACGTAATGAAGCTACCCCAGAATGTAGGTGTACCTTTTTTATTTCCTCGGTGTAAATAGTAGATTTTGGCAATAACTCATAGACGAAGATAGTTTAGCAACTTACTATGTTAATTTTCCTAATAAATTATATCACAACGACATGGGGTTTGGGACATAATTTATTAACGTTAACATTAACAACCTTAGGAATATTTTAGGATTTATGGTGTACATTCCAGTAATTTAATTTGATCTCGTATACATGTGCTATACATTTAACGTGTAAACTTTCGGCGATGAGATCTAATTAATTAAACACGCGAAAAGTCCCACGAAATAAAACAAGTTTAGGGTAATGCGGGGGCATAAAATATATTTTTATACATAGTCTGGTAGTAAAAGCGTATAAATGACATGACTAAAGCGGTTGGGGCTGACAGTAAAACTAATAACAATTTGCAAATTGGTGCGCACAGTTTACACCTACTATCGGTAGTAAATTTAACCAAAATTAGAGCAGGTTATTGGCAGTATGAGTAGGTAATAATTTATTGTTAATTCGTTGGAATTAAGTAATCAGTACTGTGTGATAACGATCTATTTTAAGTTTAATTGAATTTAACATAACAGGAGGTAATGGTGGATCTTCAAGGACGTGTTACAGACCTGACGTCATTTGTTTTTGTGCTGGAGTTTTAATGGAATGTGTTATTTTAAGATGTTGATACATACATTGGGCATTTTATAATTTTATTGTCATTTTTTTATACCTACCCAATAAACAGCGCTATGAGAACCATTAGAAGTAAATTCAATAAATACGTGACTAATTGTTATGAGACTTCAACTGGGAAGCTTGAAGTAGTGCTTAAACTTAAGAAGATTAGATTTAATAATGCCTTTCATAAGTAGCTACCTTATTGATTAGAAAATCAAATGTAACGCATGCGTCAATTTTGTATCAAACGCGCTTGTCCTTAACGGATGCGTGCATAAAAATGGCGCCAAGGGTAGATGATCGATTTTATTTAGTAACATTTTTAGTGCAATTAACAAAATACAATGCAAAATTTAACAACTGCTTACGCTAATTGTGGACGGATGATTCCAGGTCAGTATAAAGTTCGTTATACCTATACTAATTAACGATGTAACGTAATGTGCAGGTGACAATTTCAATTTGAATTTCAATTTCGTGGTGCAGCCAAATAATTAACATTTTACCTTATAAATTACGCTAAGTTTAATTTATGCATTTTTAAAAATAAAAGTTGCTAGGGAACATTTTTGAACTTATGTGGAATCTGTAACCTTCCAAACTATCTAAGTACCTATTTTATATTAACAAAAACTGGTGTATAAATAGACAGAAATAACTAAGTAGGTATAAAATTAATTTTAAAAATAAAATAAAAAGCCAAATTGGGCATAGATTAGTTATACGTACCGAAGTCGGATTAATTAAAGATCGGCATACTTTAAGCAAATAATCAACACCACTGCACCAGTCATTTCCGATGTTATCAGAAAATATTGCTAATTACTTAACATTAACTCACTAACACCTCCACTCTTCGCTATGCTACAATAGCAACTGTCGCGCGTTCTCCCTGCTCGCTCTCGTAGCCGACCGGAGCCATTAACATAAATTATTATTGGAGACAGTTAATATTGCCTCATAAACTTTAGCACGCCGACACCCCAAGGGGCCTAATTCTTCTACCCCTGCTCAAAAATCTTGCAGTTTAAAATTACAGTCGGCGATTGTGGGGTGTAAAGTTACCAACTTACTGACTTTACTTCAGTTACATTTATACAGGTTTGCTTTTTATATTTTTATGGCTTGTAAATTATATTTTAAAATGTGACAATTTTTTTTTGTTTAAAACGGGATTGTGTATGTGTACTTTGAATAGAAGCATATACAGTCTAGTGAAACATGCTCTTTTATTCAGAAAGGACTCGTACACACTAGTACACATACCAACTTGTCACAGAAAATTGTATTTCAATTATCTGCATCCTATCTAGAATCCCATAGAAAGAAATACCTCACAAAGTTAATTCTTTGGAGGAAAGCCATCCTGCTTTATAAGTTTGTACTCCGGTTGGGCAAATCGAAGTATAGGGATGCCTCTAGTGATGCCTTGTTTCGGAATAACCAACCTGATTTCTGATTTGTTTTATTGTATTTTTTATTACGCCCCTGTGTTTGTTATACTTATGTCCGGTAGGAGTATAGTTTTGTTTTGCTGTTATTCTGATGGTTTATTTTACTTCCGTCAAATATAACTGACGCGATTTAAAGAGTTACTAGGATAAAAGCTTACTAGATCAACGCAAACAGATCACTATTTTTGGAAAATTGTATTGATATTTACATTGGTACATTACATTCTGCTTAAGCTCCAGACTCGGCTCCAGATTAGTCATTTGATTTCTACCATCAGACCTGTTAACTTTGATCCAACTCCAACTGTTAACACAAACTATCATCAGAAATAGAGAAATATACATTCATACATACACATACATATACTAACAAAGAATAAAATTAATAATATTGCAATTGTTTTGTAAATTTTCAAACATATGTGATTAAAAAACAGTATAATGAAAAATTGCATCAAAATTCAAAACAGCCCAGTTTAGCAGTTTAGTTCTTTTTTACCCTTTAAGGCACAATAATAAGTTGAACATACAAATGCAAATAAAATGCGATAACTCACCGATATGGTCGGTTTTACTGTTTTGCAGCGGTTTCCTTTTTTGTCTGATTCACCACACGGCAATTTATTTACTTAACCTTTTTGACCACGCAGCGCGATCCTCGCATGGTCTAACGGGTAATATCTTCGGTTACCTACCACGATTTAATTCCAGCTTCAACTTAAGAAAATATGCCCCAAAATGGCTGCTAACCTGTCTTACCACCAGAATCCCTTTCTTTTCACCAACCCCATTTCTATAAAAGGAATTTGCCAGAATGGTACTGCAGTTCTGCCAGAAACCTCTACTGCATAAAAGCCTCAAGATCAGAAGTTTTCATGTTCTGAATAATAGGGGATCTGAACGTGCCGGACGATCACGTTGATCCCACAATTTTGCCTTATGTCGCGGTAAGTTGGTGCTTCTAAACTTTCACATACAATTACACGTCCAGGCCAGGACCGTACACAGAAGCTATTCCCCCAAAATGGAATACATTCGAATACAAAAATAGAAGCGGATTACAGAAAGGACACATCAATTGGTATTTTTTTGTTCATTTTGATCAGCTTAACTTCTTTATACAAAGTGTGTCGTCATGTAATCCCAAAATTCGCTAAAAAATGCAGAATTGTACCTTATTTCTGTTATACCAGAATTATGATGATGTATGTGGTTCCTGGTTACAATCGCCAGCTTTTAACTTCTTCACCCCCCTGCCGCTCTGCCCTTCCTCCACCCAATGTAATTCACAATTTTCTTCTCTCATGAAAGCCAGCAAGATTCACATCATGTTGGTATTGATATGGATCGATTTTCTAATGATTTGTGGACGTACTAATGCTGTAAACAAAATAAGTAGGTATGTCTACATCTTCAGCAGTAATGATGACGCTACCGAATTCCGTGACTTTGGATATGGGGGCCTTGACGATGATCACGTTGGCGTCTTTATATGTCTGTTTCACTTCGATGTTAGCATCCAAGCTTCTTGTAGATAAACACGGGAATAGCAGTCACAGTCACGATGGAGGATACAAAAGATTTGGGGCTCACTGCTATCAGGATTACATGAGCCGGAGCCGCAGGCATTTCTTTTTCAAAAACATCGACTTAAATCGTTATTTTTTGGCCATTTGCGACATTTTCAATTAACTACTTGTTAATTAGATCACTCACTGGTAGGCGGGGAACACTTTGTAACCCGAAGGTCCAATCTTCAAATGAGTATAACTCTTGTTTGAAGAGTTATTTAAAAAAAACTGTACGTCAATTTTGTTCCTTAACTCATCAAGTATGTACACAACAAATTTCGTGGAATTCTCTCCATTTTCGTTGTCCGGCCAAGAATTGCAGTGGAACGTTTTTTTTGGAATTTTCAAAAACTAGTTCCTGATTCGTGATTTTGATGTTTAAAAACCTCCAAATACCAAATTTCGTCAAAATCAGAATTTTTTTCGCACCCTCCAAATAGGGGTGCGCCCTGTCGTAGTAAGAATTATGAAAAAAAATTTCAAAATCGGATAGGGCATACCCGAAAACCTATTCAAAGACGTGGCACCCATCTTTGTAACTCTTATGGTTGCTGAGAAAAAAATTAAACAAGAAATCCAAACTTCACCACTTCCTTGGGGGGTGGCTCCCAAACGAAACACGTTGGATCCTCGGTTTATTTGGAAAACGTGCTTATCTTGATCTCCTCTATCACCAAATTTTTTTTACATGCGGTCACTGACTCTCAGAGCATGGGTTTCTGTAACCAAAAAAATTTTGGTGACTCAGAAATATAGCCCAACACTGGATGAGGGTGAGGGCATGGTTAACTGTAGGTTTCACTTGAAATACTCTATCTAATAAAGGAGTAAAACAATATGTTAGTTATAATAATTTTCATGAAATTTTGGTATATTTCGCAGAATAACTACAAACATTAACTTAGCAAGGGTGTTTATGGTCTGTCGCCTACTATTTCTATAGTTCACGTCTTTGAAGAAAGCAAACTGTGAATTTTCTGGCGCAGGATAAAATTGGAATTGTAAGGTTAGTATGTTTTCTTTATTTTTAAAATACCATTAGGTGCTTACATTGGATCAAAGAGAAGTATTTTTGGCTGTATTTCAAAAATAGAAAAAATGTAGTATACTAAGTTTGGAGTCGTTATTCTCTTGTGCAAGCTCTAAATATCACATTTCGTCGATTTCAGAATAATGCTCGTGATCTTGGGGGACAAATTTTGGAAACACTGTTGAAAATAGGAAATGGAAATACCTAGAAAAGAGCGTTTGTGACTTATTTGTATATGGAATTATTGCCTAGAAACACATTAACGAAGATACGTAAATTCTGAAAGTTCTGGAAACGTAACATCCATATTTGGGACATCCGGTTTATTGATTGAAATAGACAAAATATCTTGGTCCTTTCAAGTATCAAATTTTTTTAAATAGTTCGACTTGGTAAACTAGAATTAAGGGCATCAAAAAGAACTTGTTGGACTGATAGGACATTGCAAAAAGTCTAGTGTAGGATGAAAAGCTATTTATTGTGGTGGGATCCTCCATGATGGTTAGGCATTTTTACTTTCACCTCATCCACATCTCAACCCTATATTGATCATGCTGCATAACGCTAATTTTTAACAAATAACTTTTAACACAGGCTTCGGATGGGAAAAATTTGATTATTTAACCGAAATTAATAGTTTGCTCCTTTTTCGGTAGACCCGAGCGAGTAATGTAAGTTATGTTTCAGCATCTTCTGCATTTCGGGAAGAATGTCACTTCCGGGATATCCATGACGGAGAAATGAATAGAAGATATAGGTATGAGGAGAACTTATAACAAATGTAATTGATCGTCAGGAGCAATGAAGATACCGAGCCGATATTTACTATTTGTATTCAGTTAGCAGGTAGGTTTCATTTTCTGGACGAGTAACAAAAATTATTCTCCTAACTACCTAATCGCAAAAATGATCAAATTTTACCCAAATAACCTTTTCTTGTAACTCCTAAATCAATAGGCCTGTTTCTTTGTGTTTCCACTTCCAGCTTTTCCAGCTTATTTCTTAAAGATCGATACAATTGATTGCGCCATGAATGTTGTCAATTCTTGGTATATATCATCATCTAATAAATAATAATCACCTATTGGTGACGCACATAAACCTTTGGTTGAAAGGAAGTGGCAGTTCGTAATGTAAAGACGTTTTGGTAATCTCTGACAATGGTGACAATGTGGCGTGGTCGTTGGCAGTTGGATATTTCCCAACTTACGGTCAGATCGAGACCCTTAGAAAAAAACTGATTGTGGCAAGAGACCGGGGAGGCCTATTCGACAACGGCAGAGAGAGATGCGTATCTACGGAGGACCTTATGGTGGTGCCCGAGCTTGTGCCGGTTAATTAACAAGTGCATAACGCTGACGTTTGAAAAGACAAAGAGCAACGCTGAGGCTCGGCCGGTACGGCACTAGAAGGGGGAACGCGAAGAGAGCCTAAAGTAAATATTCTTATGACTGCCGGAAAACAGGAGACGGCACTAGGGAGCGATATAACCATACCGAAAATGGTCGTCAAAAACAGCCACTTATTAGAACGATAAGGAAAAAGGAAAAGGTCAACATGTTTCATTCCTCCGATCCCCGAGAGATACCGGAGGCGGACTTTATGAGCAGGCAACGGGAATGTAAGAATGGGTAAAGTTAAGCATGAGAACGGAAGGAACGGAGTTAGGATAATGAGACGGAAGTCTACTGCTCCAGCATTCGCATCGTAGGTTTCAACATACTAGCATTATGCGAAGCTACATACGTGTACGTCTGAGGAAAACCCTCTGATAAAACCCTCGACAGAGCAGTCAGGAGCAGGATTCGAACCCCCAACCCCTCGAATAGCAATCGGCAACGCAACGATTGCTCCACCGGATTCGGTCAACGATAAAGTGGCGGTCCTTCGAACGAGGTGTGTGACAGTGCGAGTGGCGAATGACAGTAAGAATCGTATGTTGAACAGCGTTGTGCAAAGTACTGGGAACGACTCGTGGGGAATGCTGTACAGTCGAAATGTGGTTGGCAAAATAGATATAAGTACTGTATTTTCACCACAGTAACTCGTGCAGTCCAGAAACGGACAGGCGCGACCGAGTGCAGCGCTCCTACGCCCACGGCAGAAGAGATGATCACAGCGACAAAGAAGATTTCGAAGAAGGCTACTAATCCCGCCGCTCTGCTTCCGCAATTCTTCATTAAACTTGTACAGCTGAGACCTTAGTTTTTAAGACGGCATTCAACATGATTCTTGAGCAGGACTGCCAGGGCTAGAAAATGCAGTCTTGAACTGAAAAAAAGAGGCCGGGGCAAGTAGAACGATTACGCTTATCAAGCATGTTCGGAAGTGTCTTGAGAGACTGCTAAGGCACAATACGGATTCCGAAAAAACCAGGGACAAGGGACCGGGACGAGTTAGGAGAATTGGTGGACTAGGACAGACGCCCTTGGAGAACGCGGTTGATGAGGGTGATGGCAACCATTAAATATCTGGACGCCGCCGCCGTTAACTCAATTACCAACGGAGCCAACGGAGGTCAGAATAGAATCGATAGAAAAAGCGCCAGTGTGGCGACATCTACAATTTATAGTTAACAGTTACCTTACAGGCTGGCATAGCGCAGTAAGATCTCCATATGACAAGACCATACGCATTTAAGACTAAAAAGGGAGAGGGTTATCGTAGAACACAATCCTCCGATATTATTGGGGTCGGGAGAGGTAAAGACTTAGTTCGTGCAAATGGGGTAAAAAAAAGAGGTCGTTAGTGCGGTGGACAGAACCGGCGTAAGTAAAAACAAAGTGTCTCTCGTAGTTAGACTATTAGCCCGTGCTGCCATTGTTTTGGGTGGAGTGATGGTTCCATTCGAGCGGGAAATTAAGTTCCTCGAATTAAGGTCTATGTAATCTCATATCCCATGCAAGAAACAGCCCGACATATAATTGCAGGGTAACTGGCTAACTGCTCAGGATTCTGGTGAGTTTTCGGAGGACCAAGCGAAGGACGAGAAAAATCAAAGGGGCATTTCTATACTACATAGGATAATAGACTTGACTGCGCAGCCCATAGACTGCGGTTAAAGATATCGATGAATGGTGGATCAAATAGTGTATGCTGATAGTATATGAATCGTGTTATAGCGCGAGGCGAAGTGACAAGTCATATAATGAAATTCATCACCAACGTCGCCTGGACCAAGGATGTAGAATGCTGTAGGTGAGAGAGAAGGGAAAACTAAGAGGGCAAGGTCGCTCTATGTGGCTTCTGTTGACCGCATTCAAATTAAATTGAAAGAACCAATCAGATGCGGAACCGTAAGAGACAGCTTGCCCTCTTAATTTTCGCTTCTTTCTCACCTGCAGTATCCGTGCTTAGCATTGGCACGCGCAGTCCATTTATTTATGTCGATGATTAAACCATACGATTGTAGACTGGCATCGAGTGTTCCGACACCGGCATTCTCTGCTGGCCAACTTTGTAGATCTCCTGATATCGTGCAAGTGAATCCTTACAACATTTATTTTTGTTGCATTTTTAGGTGAATCTGATTAGTGATTACATGAAAGGTATCTTGCAATTTTAAAAACAACATAAAACTTCCTTTACAGAAACGTTACTTTTAAACTTCGGGTCAGTTGACTGGCGCATTCTGTCATTTTGATATTGAAAGTTTCTTAATAGAGCTGAAATATCAAATTTCAAATTTTCCACTTTATATAGGTACCTACTCCTACAGTCGAAATCAACAGAAGACGAGGATTCGGATGGGTGACGTTCAGGACACTCACATAATAAAAAAATAAGAAAATTCCTCAAAAACTAAGAACAAAGATTTCCACACATATGTATAGGTATGTACTGCGAGGTATTAATGGAGTACAAGACAAATGATAATAGGTCCATGCTGAGCATAACACTGGAAAACAACAGCGAAACAAATGGATAAAGCAAAAAAACCGGTAGGACCATAACACAATTAAAATGGGTTCATGCTGGTCACATTGCAAGAATAAAAGGCAACCGCTGGAACGGAAAAATGATAACATGGAGACCCTGGATGGGGAAAAGGAGAAGAGGTGGACCAAACATGCGCTGATATGATGACGTGAAAACCGTGCAGGACTGAACTGGAAGGCATCTAACAAAGACAGAGACAGATGCAAGAAAAAGAAGGAGACCTATGCTCAATATTGGGCGCAAATATGCGTTTAAGAAGATAAGAAAAAGATAGGTACCGCTACCCATCTTTAATATCGCAATCGCCTTCTATAATGTTGAAATATAGGGTTGCTGTACTTAAGAAACAGAAAATTAGAAATTTGCAATAAATTTGTAATTGTCTGAAAATAGAGGACCATTCTGCATTTTCTTAGGAAATGTGTTCGGTTAATGCATTAAAGACAATGGCCTTATTATCACTACAGTAATTACTATGCCATATGTGCGTCCTTGTAACTTGCTGAGAACAATAAATAAAGTTGATAACATCCAAAATTAAGTAAATATACCTAGGTGGGTACCTAAGGTGCTTATTTACACACCAGCAGAAAACTATGCACCTAAAATTATCATGGAAATTTTAAGAAGGCATGCACGTGTGAGGAAAGATCAAGTTTATTATGCACCTTAAATTAACTAACTTTCACCAATAAGCAAATGCGGGATATGCTCGGGGATATGAAAAATTTGATATAAATTCTGAACCAAACATTCTTTAAAGCAAGCACAATTTGTCTGATTGAGTTACCTTTTTGGTACAAAGTGGTACAATATATTGGCACAAACGTCGAAACGAAATGCAGACGAGGCATATCATTTATAATTTATTTTTATTCTTATGTTAATGAGGGATGTACGATTTCAACGGATCAACTATTGACAAGTTAATAGGTTCTTTTTAACCTTTCAACACAATTTCTTCTAATAAAAGCATTTTTACAATTACAATACAATTGTACAATTTAATTGACCAATTGTAATTAACTTTCACACTTTTAGAAACGTGGGAGAGACTAAAAGCAATGGGGGCTGCTACTGCTCATTGTGACGTCATAGCCCTCCCTAAAATCCTGACATACGCACATGATGGAGGTACAGAAGCTGTCAAGAGATTATGTTTGGCCGCCTTTTTCATCATGGCCGTTATGGTTCCATTGAATATTATACAAAAGAGATTTGTTCCTCTTGTAAACAATACCTACCTACCTACTAAACATGAATGGAGAAGTATTTTCTTATAGGGTTGGGTAAGTAACGTTTAGCAAGGTACTACCTCTATTTATATCTTTTTAAATTTGCAGGAACACGCTTACTACCCTCCTTCTTGCAGAACACCTGCTCATCAGTAGTGGAGACGTTCAAGATCAACAATCTAGACACGTTTAACTTACTGTACTTTTTTATTGTATAGTTAGGTAGTTGCATAACATTTTACTAATGCATTAGTAGCTAGATATACTGTACCTACTGTCGGTATTGATTTTTTAATACCACCCAAAGTTATTGTATGTAGTTATATCGCTATATTCTATCTTTTGGAACATAATGCAATAATGTCTCGTCCGGTTTTAGGCTAGGACAACGAACATTGCAACGTACCAAATCACAATTTGTATATAATAACATAATTAATTAGTGGTGGTATCAATTTGCAAATTATGTACTGTGACGTGGTATCTAAAGGGCGTCATACACATTAAGTTTAAGGGAAACATACCTAATCTATATGACATTCTAGAACCTACAAAATGGCGGAAAGTACGGGGTGACCAAATGAGAATGATGTGGCGCTCAAATTATCCTAGCGGGTCGTAAATCTTTGGAGTGAAACATTTTTTAAATAAACGGGAGTAAACGAGCATGCTTGAAGTTATACGGCAACCACTAAGGAGCGGCACACGAATTCTAAAACAGGGAAAACCGAGGGGAAAATGCTCCTACGTATTTTTTTTGTTAAACTTTTAAAATTTTTTAAACTTGTAAAATAAGAGGAGAAATTGTAGTCACAAAAAATTCTACCAAATTTTTCCTACTTCATAGATTTCGAAAAACTTACCAGATATCGTTTAACAATCAATACACCGGTGTTTCCAAGAGCGTGACTAGAGTATTAATTTAGATCCGGTATCGCGGTTTAGAGTGATTTTTGACTGTATCTCCAAAAAATTTAAGTCGGACTTTTTTTATTGTTACCTATACAGTGCGTTCAAGATAAGAGGGTAACCTCAAGATCTCTTTTATTTGGCAAGATACGAAAAATGTGTCATTTATAATTGTATATGTGACATTACGATCTATCTGATCGAATATTTAAACTTCCGGTAGCACTTTCGGCTTAACCGGAAAAAAAAACGGAAATTGATGCAACTTTTGTTTTTCAAATGCAATACCTATGTTTTTTACGATATTTGAAAAGAGCAATCAATTCTCAAATTGTCAAAAATGGAGAAACTCGTGATTCAATATTTAGAAAATTTATGAAAAGCAAAAGTATCAATTTCCGGTTAAACCGAAAGTTCCTAATGCCGGAAGTTTGAATATGCGATCAGATAGTTCGTAACGTTAGATATAACATTGTATTTGACACATTTTTTGTATCTCGCCAAATAAAGAGATGCCTATTGAAGTGATCCTCTTATCTCGAACGCACTGTATAGCATTAGAAAGTATAAAGATGCCTACATCCATGAGACACTATCTGACAAGAGAAGGACAATAAATAAATAAATGAATAAAGACCTAATCAAATAGCGGTTTCTTGACATTCTTTAATCTGCATTTGTTGAATCGCGAAAACAAAGTAATCTGGAAACAAAATGCTGTCAAACAGTATCGTAGTTGATAGTTGATTATTGATTACAACAGATTAATGCTTCATAAGTAATAAATTGCTTTTACTGGAAGGATGGTAGAGGAAACTTTGTAGCGCTCATCCTAGGAACAACCCTTAGGCTACATTTTATATGCATTAAAAGTAGACTTTTAAACCAATCAAAACTCATAGTTGTTAGGTTTCCCCATAACATTTTTTGAGAAAGCTTAACAATTCCAATGTTTTCATACAACTAAATATTGAACATTTTATATTCAAAGCTATAGATACTCTATCTGAAGAAATGAATTACAACAATTGTTTAAACTATACCTACCTACCTACCTTTTCAACTTCAATTTGGGACGACACAAAACCAATTTGAATTTCTGTAAAGGAAGCGTTCCCGCAAACGTAACATACTGTTCCATTTAAATTTTTTGAGAAACGAGTTATAATCTATAGGTACACTACACCGAAGCGCCATCTAACGGAAATCAATAACCCTGATCAGATAATTCCGACGTGCTTGCGGTATCCAGTGTACATTCAAGTTCTTAAAAATCTAGCACAATTTTGATATTCAAGTTTAATTTTACCTCCTCTTATTATTATGTCCTGATATTTACGATAGGTATAGCTGTAGTTAACCACACGTGTAGGTATGCTTCCATCATTCGATATTTTAACAAAAACCTTGTTTTCTGTTTTGAAGTGTGTATTTCACCTTTAGCGATGTATGAAACCAACTCCTAGCATTTCTCTCTTGCGTGCATTTAGTATATGGACGAATTGTAAATATTAGATGAGATTAACTGATTTATTACTCCCTGATGGCCATTTGGCCACAAATATAGAGTGTATAATTTTCATGTATAACTTAATTCAATTAACGATACTTTGGTAATTACGAGTATAAACATGCAAATTTGAATTGAGCGTTAATTTTATAGCAACGTCCAAAATGGAGCGTTCACGAAAGCTCCTTTAATATAATCATAGTATAATACAGATAGTAAGCCAACCGGTTCGCGCCAATTCTTGATGATTGTAAAAAGATGTACCGGTATATGCTGCCACCTAGTTGAGAGTAGCTCAATTTGCCCATCTTAGAAACTACATTCATTATTGTCACGAAACGATCGGCATCAGTTATCGAAGCGGGAAAATACAAAACATGATCGGTAATCGGGTTTAAATATTCTTCCCATATCGTATTCCTATTTCATATCGTCATAATCAAGCACTATACATACAAGCAGAGTTGGAATGATTACTCCAAAAAGTACCTACTACTACTACTTTACAAAATTTGTATTTAATTACTGATTACAATTTGTAATCGATTTACTTTAGCATCTGTAACTACATTTTTAAACTTGCATCTTGCATGCGCACGTATCCATATTTTATTTATCGTTAACGAGTTCGTTGATTCTTTGTTATTACTTATTACTTATTAACGATCCTCGTGACCGTTCATAATTTTGTATTGCTGTCTGTCTGTCCGTTTTGTTGCCCGTATGCACGATAACTTTGTGTAGAAACGTCCGATCATTTTGAAAATGGGTAAGGATATAAGAAAGGTCGCCATTGTTTTTCAGCTGAGTAAACTAACGGGCCAAAAAATTACAGCCCACAAACTGCCCACACCTGAAAAGAAGGTTTTTTTATAATTTTTTGTTGTTTGTACATATGAATGTTCGGTTTTCTGTGTTAGTAAATATTCTTTAAACCTCAAGAAACTATGCAGTTGCATAAAAAAATTACCCCAACTTTGTATCCAATTTTTTTATTTGTTAAGATGGGAAAAATGAAATTTTGTATGTAAGCACCTCGAATAGAAATAAACTAATGCCGAATCAAGAAAAATTGTTTTTTGTACTCATTGAATGGAAAGATAATGTTTCCAAGCATCCTCGATGCACGGGAAAACGACTTTCCCGCATCGCGGTGTTTTTTAGTTTCCGCTGGAGAGAAGGGGTTATGCGCGTTCTTCGGTTGGTAGTACTTATTGAAGTCAACGAACGTCATGTCAATGGTTAACTGTCATCTGCTGTAAAATCAATTAAACCGTTGGTTGAGGTTATTTAGTGCGATTAATCGGAAACAGACGTACACTAAGTTTTACGTAAATATATAAACAAGAACTTATAACGCAATCAAATTATTTTTCAGAATTGGAACTCAAGAAAAAGTAAAATTTATTGTTAAAACGTCTTAAAATCTCACCAGTAATATTCTGCAACTATTCGCCTATGCAGTTTAAGAAAGCACATATTAACACACACAAAGCTTCCAAGGATTTTAAATGTAACGAGTGTATTTACGCAACTCAAGATATTCAGTGCAAACGATGCAATGCCGTGACCAGTAGCACTCATTGCAAAGGCAAAATATGTATTAACCAAAGATGTGGAAGTTTTAAATGTGCCCAGTGCATTATTAAAAGTGGGTAGTTACAAAATTATGTTACCAACCAAACATATGATTGTGTTACCAACTCATGATTAAAAAAAAGCTAATTTACAAAACTTTATTAATTTTGACCTTTTTTTACGTAATTCGTTACAAAAAATATTGTACCTAACTCTTTCGGAAAGAATTTTCCCGCATTCGCACTAAATGCAGCACTCCCTACGGTCGTGCTGCAAACAAAGTGCTCATGCGGGGAAATTAACTTACCGAACTTGTTAGGTAAATAACTATTTTCAACAAAAATATGAAAAATGAGAAAGTTGATATTGCGCAGTCTGCCGCATGCGCACATTACTCATAAGATTTTTTTCTAGGTTGAGGACAGAACTATAACTACCGAAATGCCCAAAAGAACAACTAATATCTTGAAAATGTAGGAATAGAGGCTCGGACGACAGACAGAGAAAATGGTACATAGCGCACCACCTTCTCGGAAAATGCGCTAAAAATATAAGCGATTATACAAAGACGAGAGGAACGTTATATACTTTTTTGTCGAATCCATATTATTGATTTTTAATGAGTCTTTTTTCTGAATTCCGTATCTCCAAAACCAAAAGGAAGCCCCATCACATTTTGCGCCAATGCCCCCAATTGTTAAAGACGGCTCTGTTAAACAGCATCTGGGAATTGGAGAAAAAAATTCATGCGGAAGAAAGTTATGAAGGTCGTGCTAGCACACCTTAAAGTACAGAGGTTTCCAAGTGCACCGTTTATACTCCTTTAATATCTTTTGCTTATGGAATATCTGGATTTATGAAATATCTTTCTAAAAATCCGAACAAGAGACAGAATACCGACGATCTTCGATGTCACATCCATCATTTTCACAGTAGTACATCTTAAGGGTTGACTCGGTCCCACCAGATCAGCATACTGTGATTATTAT